TATAGGTGTGTGAACATATGAAACCTGCTACTGACATGCTGTCAGCCATTTTGCTGTTTATTCATCATCTTAAAATATAATCAAAGAAGAAAATTTACTCTAAGAAATAAGAAGAAACTATGTTTTATTGCTACAATTTATAAATGGATGTCTGGACTGTTTTTTGGATTGCAAAAGGAAAGGTTATTTTGAAAGCGTGTCTTGTCAGATGTTGCCAGGGGGGGGAAAGGTGAAATGTGTGCTTAAGTTGTGAAAGAGGAAGTCAGGCTTATATGTGTTAACTTTTATCATAGACAAACGATATTTTAGGGAAGTAAGATGCATGACTGGGGTCAAGTTATCTGTTAGAAAGATCATGGGATGCTTAAACTTTTGAACCTTAAATTTGTCAGTTATGCTAGAATTTAGCCAATAGGAAATAAGACCATATTTGGAGTTCTGATTCAAGCTAAACGAAAGGCCAGTTCCGGGTCATATGTATAAAATATGAGGAATTGTAACATGATGTTAGATTGCTTCTTGCCAATCTCCATGAGATATCTCTGTGTATTGTAATGGTCAATTAAACGCTTTTTATTGAACCTGGTAATATTTTTGTCTACTTCCACAGTTGGGGGCTCTTCGTCCGGGATCAGAATACCACAGACACCAGCAGAACACCTGCACCTGCCAACCATTTCGTGGGCACTCAAACAGACCGGTCATATGAAAGGTAAGCCATACCATTTATAAAACATGGCATTAGTGTAATTTTTGAGTGTCCATGAAACAAAGAACGGTGCAGGTAAATGCTAGTCTGTGTGACCTGATTTCTTAGCCTTTTATTGACCATTTGTAACGTTACTATTTATGTTTGTTGTAACATATACTGCAGTATTAGTGTCTATGTCTGAGTGATTCTAGAATCAGTGGTAGCACTGACAGGTAGTCCCCTAGGAAGACTTAAGTGACTAAACTTCGCAGACCCAATAGGGGTTTGGTGGGCCTTCAGAAGTCTAAACGTAGCTCTGTTGGTGAGAGTCTCTTTGATATGATGTATCCCTGTCATGTGATTGTGGCTAAATGTTGAGGTTAGCCACATGAATCTAATCTCCCAAGTCTAAACGTAGCAAAGTGAGATTAGATTATTTTGTTTTAGTGTCTTAATTTCACCCAGTCTAAACGTAGCAAGGTGAAGTTAAGTTGTCTTGTATTAATTGGCTAAATGTTGAGGTTAGCCACATGAATCTAATCTCCCAAGTCTAAACGTAGCAAAGCGAGATTAGATTATTTTGTTTTATTGTCTTAATTTCACCCAGTCTAAACGTAGCAAGGTGAAATTAAGTTGTCTTGTATTAATTGGCTAGCCACATGAATCTAATCTCCCAAGTCTAAACGTAGCAAAGCGAGATTGGATTATTTTGTTTTAGTGTCTTAATTTCACCCAGTCTAAACGTAGCAAGGTGAAATTAAGTTGTCTTGTATTAACTGTTTAAACTCATAGGTTAAACATAGCACTTGAGTAAGATGTATTGTGTTAAAATTGTATAACTGTGTGTATATGGTTTAAAGTTTGATAAACTGTAACATCATTTGAGAAGAGATTTTTGTGTAAACTCCAGTTGTCAGTTAGTATACAAGCTGAAAATTGTGACCTTTCGATCTCTCAAAAGGTGATACAGTGAGTGTATACATTTGGTGTTTCAACGTACAAGTAACAGAAATGAGGTTGAATCATGGCAAGCAGCTTGATCATGGGGATAGTATACCCAGTGATTCCCCAGTTTATTTAATGAAACAGAAATATGGCCCTTCAAATATTATGTATTCAAAGAAATGGGCAAAGTTAACTAAGAATAATATAAATCCATGGCCAGTGGTGGGGTCATTAGACCCTTGGGTGTTGTTAAGTTTAAGAACAATGTTGTTAAATGAAAAAAGTCTTTCAAAACTGGAATGGTCTGCATATATGTTATGGCATGAGGAAATTGAAAAGAAAAAGCAAGAATGTTCCCCCCAGTCTGGTGCAACAGGAGGGGCATGTAAAGGAGAGGGTACTGGTGTTGCCTGTTTGTATCCCTCACTGTACAATTTAAAAAGAAATGTTAAAAATCCTCCGCCTTATAATGATGATGAGGATTTTTTGATTAATCATGAGATTATGAATCCCTCTTTGGGTCACCGCCCCTCAGCAGATGAATGATGCACCACAGCTTGTACCCCAAAATTTAGCTGGTGCCTCAGCCATGTTGCATTGAGGTGGTAGACCTGAGAGGGATATTAGACTGCCTAAAAGATTTGCTGATCATGCTGTGGTTACTATCAGGTTTATCAGGATGTAGCAATGTGTTGCCTGAGAGTGATGGGAGTGAGGCTATGATTTTACCTATTAGAAAAGTGGGACAGATGGATAATGATGGGAGACCACGGAGGATTTGTCAACCGTGGAGCCCACAAGACATAGCATTTTTACAGGTATCATTTACTGCCCCCTCTAGATCCAAATGGGTTTGTAAAACATTTAAAAATAATGTGTGCCAGCTATTTCCCCACAACATAAGATCTTAATGAGTTAATGGAGACAGTATTAACCCCTACAGAACATACTAAATGGGTGGCAGGATATAACGAGTCACCTTTTTCATGGCCTGCAGGGGTGGGGGGACAAGCAGTTGCACACATATGGGAAAATTGCCCTGATGAGAGGAGTGATGTTGTCCTTAAGAATTGGTATGCATTCCTCAGCATTAAAGTAAAACCAGTTTTTACCCAGCCTATTGACTATACATAGCATAGTGCAAAAGAAAGGAGAAAACCCCTATGAATATGCGGAAGCAATTAAGGTTTTTGGAAGTTTTGAAGATATCACGAATTAATCAATTAAGCCGTTCATAGTGAATACCTTAGTAAATGGTTTGGATGCTAAAGTAAAAAAAAAAACAATTGATGTTATCCTTACTGGGATGACGGGATAAATCACTTAATATTGTATTAAGTGCAGCATCAGAAATTTGAGCTATTCAAATCAAGGAAAATGCAAAAGCTGAGCACATAATGCTACAAGCTGAACAAATTCCTGTTAGATATTATGCACATCAGCCAAGACAAAACATAGCCAGAAGACCCCCACAGAATAATGAAAGAACATTTATCAAATGTTTCAATTGTGATGGATATGGTCATATAGCAACAGATTGCAAGGAGGTAAAGGGGGCAAGAAAGCAATTAGAAGAAAAAGACAGACTAGATGTAGAGGAAGATTGGGGTCTGAATATGTATTGTTAGTGTACCAGTGACCCAAGGTCCAGAACCTATGGTACATTTGAAAGTAAATGAATTGTATGTGATACTGAAGGAAGAAGAAGTAAGTGATTTTGGTGGGGAGAGTGTATATTTAGTGGAAGACCAGCATTGCCATCATTGTTTAATTCTGAATGGTCAAGGCTGGGCCTAGAATCTGTATTGGCACTGGTGTGTTCTTCATGTGTTATTTGTTTACAATACAATGCAGGTCAGAGACCTAAATCATCCTCCCTGTTCATGAGGTCCATTTGTAAATTTACAAATGGATTTCATTGAATTACCAAAGGTAATGCAGTACCGGTATGTGCTAGTAATATTAGATACATTCTCAGGTTGGATTGAGGCTTATCCTTGTTGCCATGCCGATATGTCTACAATGTTTAAGAAATTGTTACAAGAATTTATACCCAGGTATGGATTGCCTCTGCACATTTACTCAGATCAGGGAACACATTTCACAGGAAAAGTAGTGCAACAGATAGCAAAAATTTAGCAAATCCCTTACCATTTACATTGCTCTCATCATCCTCAGTCAGAAGGAGCAGTAGAAAGGGCCAATGGAACATTGAAAAACAAAATTGCAAAAATTGCAGCAGAGAAAGTTAAAGTGGCTTAATGCACTTCCTCTTGCCTTAATGTCTATGAGATTCTCTCTAGTTTGAAAGCAGGGTTATCCCCTCATGAAATTCTAATGGGAAGACCAATGTTCACAGGAGGGTACCTATAAAATGTTATTCTCATGAGATAAATGATGATTTGTTGATGTCATATTGCATGTAGCTAACAAAACGATTAGTCTCTCTATATGCAGGTAAAAGCTGTACAGCGAACAAGTGAATACCAACCTTTGCATGCCATCGCTCCTGGAGATTATGTTATGATAAAAGATCATTCACGAAAGCACGCGTTGCAACCAAGGTGGAAAGAACCTTCTCAAGTGTTATTAACCACTAATTCAGCTGTTAAAGTCGCAGGGGTTAAATCTTGGATCCACATTTCCCATTGTAAACTGACAAGCGCTGAAAAAGATTTTTTCACTGGAAGAAGAATAGAGGACTAAGGAAGCCGTTTTCCCTTCTAAAAAGGGGTACTTTTTAAGGGGAGTATCTTTCTAATCCAAAGTCAACTCTACTGTTTTTCTTCATGAATCTCAAACTGGTTAAACTTATATTGTCCTTAATGATTGTCATTATGACATTTTTTTATTTTTCATCCTCTACACTACGTTAGCTCCTCTTTTTTTTTTCTTTAATACACGTGTAGCTTGGGCCAGGGAGCCAAGTATTTTTCTTCATGGGAGATAGATAATCATTTTGTTAAAACAACTACTGAATTGTATAAATTGTCAAACAAAAGTAATCATTGTTGGGTTTGTGGGTTTGCTCCGCATTCCATGAACTATGGTTATCCTTTTGTGGGGGTGCCATGGTCTATGGAATCTTTATGGGTCTTTGTGAGAAAATAAGAGCAAATAAAACGGGGTTTGTTGGATTTATTCAGAATGAAGTATCCAAATCAAATCTGGCGAACCTGCTAAGGTTCATTTAACATATCCTATTACTAGCAGAGCAGTAGTAATTTCTAACAGGGATCAGAAAAGTCCTGACAAGATTGTTAAGCCTATAAGCAATGCTATTGTTATTTTTGAAAACAATGTCCTTTACAATCTATGTGGGTCTGAAACTAATTCTGCCCCTTGTACTGGTAGATTGAAAGCTTTTTGTTGGAAACCCTTATTAGAAGATATTTTGACAAAATGTCCCATCAAGGATAGAATCCAGGTGATTACTAATCATGTATGGGTAAATTTGACTTCTGAGGTAGAAATCATGGATAATAATTATGACCAGAATGAACATTTAAATGTCACTATTTTGAGATGGGCCTACTTTAATACTCAAACTTCCAATCTTTTTATGCTACTGCCCTATATTAATCAACCTATTTTTGACTGCTCAGATTCTCGTGTTATTGATATTCATCTTCCATTTGGGGTATACTATTTATGTGGTAGTTGGGCGGTAAAAAGACTTCCATGTAATTGGGTGGAAACTTGTTATCTAGGTAATATTATCCCAGCGTTAACCCTTCATGAAAATTTGCCTGCAGGAAGGGTGAGGAATAAAAGAAAGGTTATTAGTTCCAAAAAAAGATAAAACCGAAAGAACTGTAAAATCTGGTGAAGGAGATACGCTATTTGCAGGTTTTGTACCTAAAGGGGGGGTTATTGAATTAATGTACAAATTAAACTTGTTAGGAGATATACTAGATGAAGCCTTTAATAATACAGGAGATGCTATTGAAAAATTGTCTGCCGAACAGGAACAAGCTTCAGCTATGATTATGCAAAATAGGTTCGCCCTAGATTATTTGTTGGCCTCCAAAGGTGGTGTTTGTGCACTGATAAAAACAAGATGTTGTTTAATGATAATGTCACTGGTCAGATTCATAAAGATGGAGATAAAATGCATGAAGTACAAATTAAACTTAGAGAAGTTCACAATACTTCTTCGGGAGGTTTAAATTGGGGTTTTGACTAGAGTTTTGGTTTAACTAATTGGTTGGGAACAATGGGAAAACGTATTCTCATTGGAGTTATTTTAGTAGTATTGATGCTTGTGTTTATATATGTTGCAGTGAATGTCCTAAAGTGTTCATGCCGATTAATCCTCAAGAGCTGTTCACCTTCATCTCCCCCTGGCACAATTTCGAATGTTGAAATGTCTCCTATCCGGTCACAACTCATACCGACTTGGAATACAGACATGCTTTCTCTGAAGATATTGATCGTGTGCGCATCTATATGGAAAGTCCTGCAAGTGCTGTTTAAAATCACTAGCTCACTGAATGACCTTCGCTAAACATGGAAGTGTTGCACGGAGCTTTTCATCTTAAAATATAATCAAAGAAGAAAATTTACTCTAAGAAATAAGAAGAAACTATGTTTTATTGCTACAATTTATAAATGGATGTCTGGACTGTTTTTTGGATTGCAAAAGGAAAGGTTATTTTGAAAGCGTGTCTTGTCAGATGTTGCCAGGGGGGGGAAAGGTGAAATGTGTGCTTAAGTTGTGAAAGAGGAAGTCAGGCTTATATGTGTTAACTTTTATCATAGACAAACGATATTTTAGGGAAGTAAGATGCATGACTGGGGTCAAGTTATCTGTTAGAAAGATCATGGGATGCTTAAACTTTTGAACCTTAAATTTGTCAGTTATGCTAGAATTTAGCCAATAGGAAATAAGACCATATTTGGAGTTCTGACTCAAGCTAAACGCAAGGCCAGTTCCGGGTCATATGTATAAAATATGAGGAATTGTAACATGATGTTAGATTGCTTCTTGCCAATCTCCATGAGATATCTCTGTGTATTGTAATGGTCAATTAAACGCTTTTTATTGAACCTGGTAATATTTTTGTCTACTTCCACAACAGTATACACAGGGGGTGTATATTTACCCCATACATTATATACACAGTATATACAGGGGGTGTATATTTACCCTCATACATTATATACACAGTATATACAGGGGGTGTATATTTACCCCATACATTATATACACAGTATATACAGGGGCTGTATATTTACCCCATACATTATATACACAGTATATACAGGGGGCTGTATATTTACCCCATACATTATATACACAGTATACACAGGGGGTGTATATTTACACCCCCCCATACATTATATACACAGTATATACAGGAGGCTGTATATTTACCCCATACATTATATACACAGTATATACAGGGGGCTGTATATTTACCCCATACATTATATACACAGTATATACAGGGGGCTGTATATTTACCCCATACATTATATACACAGTATATACAGGGGCTGTATATTTACCCCCCCATACTTTATATACACAGTATATACAGGGGCTGTATATTTACCCCCCCATACATTATATACACAGTATATACAGGGGGGCTGTATATTTACCCCCATACATTATATACACAGTATATACCCAGGGCTGTATATTTACCCCCAAACATTATATACACAGTATATACCCAGGGCTGTATATTTACCCCCAAACATTATATAC